GGTTTCAGGCCATTTATGAAAACATGGCCCTAGTCCCTGTGCGGGGCGGTTAACTTATAGTTTAGAAGATACGTGCACACGAGGTTCACAACAACCGTGTCATCAAACGCAAATGGCAACTCGGGCCAGTCCTCCCTCCTTCCGGGGAGCAGTTACACCTCTGTGAACACAGGCTGCCACTCCAAGGGTTGCGGGGCTGTTAGAAAAAAGGAGGGCGAGCAACTTCCAATACAACCAGGTATGTAATCGTTTGCAGAAACTGGGGAAAAGACATTTATATGAGATTCAAAGGCTTTCCAAAGTCAAAATGGAAAATTCCAGTAAGGAACGATAAGAACCGAAAGCCTGCATCCTTTCGGCTGGATGCTGACAGAGGCCTTCCAGCCGATAAGGCAAAACCCTGGGGAAATGACAGCGCTTCGAGTCACCTTCATCAGCAAAGTAGCTTAAGGATTCCAGTGTGGAGGCCAGTGATGGCGAACCTATGACACGCGTGTCAGAGGTGACACGCGAACTCATTTTTTTTGGTTGATTTTTCTTTGTTAAGTGGCATTGAAATATATGAAATAAATATCAAAAATATAAGTCTTTGTTTTACTATGGTTGCAAATATCAAAAAATTTCTATATGTGACACGGCACCAGAGTTAAGTTAGGATTTTCAAAATGCTGACACGCCAAGCTCAAAAGGTTCCCCATCACTGGTGTAGACCCTGCTCTATCAGCTTCAGTGTTTGTGATGCCAAAACTGGATAATTTATCGTATCCTTGGGGAGGAGGTAAGTGAAACAAAAGATGGCTCTCAGTACAAGGAAGAATTACGCATCCCTGGAAAGATTTTAAAAAGTTGAGGAGAGCAATCCAATCGGCAGTCCCTATCAAGTCCCACAGCTGCCTTTAGGTCCAGCTAGTGTACTTAAAAAAAAAAAAAATTATTGATTTCAGAGAGAAAGGGAGGGGGAGAGAGAGAAACATCCACGATGAGAGAGAATCATTGATTGGCTGCCTCCTGCATGTCCCACACTGGGGATCTATCGCACAACTTGGGCATGTGCCCTGACCAGGACCCGGAATCGAACCGTGACATCCTGGTTCATAGGTTGATGCCCAACCACTGAGCCACGCTAGCTGGGCAAGCTATTGTACTTTTGATAACTTAGCTACCTTGGATCTGACCAAGAGAAAAAATCAAAGAAAAAAGTCATCCTGCAAATTTTTGAACCACAAAGGGTCAGAACTCACACAGCCTGTGTAGATCCCAAACTCAAGTTGGAAAACTTAGATGGATGCAGTCCTGGCTGGGTAGTGACCCCAGGTGCTGCCAGCTCCCTGGTGAACCCACGCTGAACGTAGGCCACAGATAATTCATAGCAATGCACTCTGATAATCACCCATAGACGGGTCTCTCTCACATGCTAGTCTGCTGGGAGTTCCACTTTCTTACGTGACTGAAATACAGGGCGAGGATGGTATGACAGGGAAGTCTCCTGTCCATAGCAAGTTTTCACATGAATGTCTGGGAGCAACCACGGGGAAGCTTTCTCACAACAGCACGTGGGGCAGACAGTCTGGGAAAGATGTGCCCCGCAAAGCTAACCCCCCAAAGCAGGTCAACTAGTCTTCAAGGCATAAAGCATGAGCGTGGAAAGAAGGTGACAGCACACCGAAGACAAGTTCAATCTCATGGATACAGTTCTAAACTGTATTTCTTTTTTTTTAAACTGTATTTCTTAATAAAATAACTTCACAGTAGCAGAGCAAACTGACAGGAAATGGCAAACCTTCCACTGTTATCATCACACGAGTTAGCTTACTGATCACTGGCCACTGCCGTATCGGCTGGGAATATCTTGCACATATTAACTTCCTGAGTACACCCACCAGCCCTCTGCGCTGTATTCCCGTTGTACCAACTAGGAAAGCAAGGCACAAAGAAGTGATATGTCTCTCTCAACAAAGGTTACAACGAGCCGACCCCAAAATCCCTAGTGGTGGGAAGATCTGGATGACACAATCAACAAGTCTGATCTGATGGAAATAGGTAGACTCTGCAACTAAGAGCTGGAGAATACACAGTCTTTTCAATTACTTAAAGAACATTTACAAAACTGACCAAGTGCGAGGCCTCAACAACCAGAAAAGACTCAAACTCTGGCTTTTTACAACCACAATGCAATTAAATTAGAAATCAATAACAAAAAACAGATGTTTAAATATGTCATACAATTGAAAAATTTAAAACATGCTTCTACATAAATCATAGGAGAGATTAAAAAGTAAAAGAAATGAAAAAGATCGGGATGTGAACAATAATAATAATAATAGACATTAAAATTCGTGTGTTGCAGATAAATCAGTGCTTACATAAGAAATTTGTTACTCAACTGCTTATAATAGAACAGGAGAAAAGTTGGAATGAGGTAAGCTTCTGAAGAAAGAAACATTTAAAGGACAATAGGTGAAATCCAAAGACATTGACAGAGCCCTCTCTGGTTTGGCTCAGTGGATAAAGCTTCACCCTGTGGACCAAAGGGTCGCAGGTTCGATTCCCATGTACCTCAGTTGCAGGCTCCTCCCCGGCCTAAGCCCTGGTCGGGCTCAGGAGGCAACCAATTGATGTGTGTTTCTCTCACATCAGTATTTCTCTCTGTCTTTCCCTCTCTCTTCTACTCTCTCTAAAAATCAATGGAAAAATATCCTTCGGTGGCGATTATAAAACAAACAAAAAAACAAAGACCTTGACAGAGAAGGTTGAAGGAAAGGAAAGGAAATGAAATAGAAAATAGAAGTAGAAAAGAGAAGTTGCACCAAGACAAATTTTGGTTCCTGGAAAATCGTAATAAAAATGATTTTGGAAAAATGACCACAAAAAGGAGGTGGGGGGAGGCGTATAAATAAACAATATTAGGAATAATCAACATATGCAGCAAAAATTAAGGTGAGAGATTATGGGCAACATTTAGCCGAGACACTTCAAACCTTAAGATGAAATGGAGATATTTCTAGAAAAATATTACCCCAAGATTAACCAAAGCAGCAGACATTAAAGGAATCAAATCAGTAGTGAGAAACTTTCCCACGATGCAATATCACAAAACATTTAAGAACTGTTAATTTCATCTCACATATATTATTTCAGAATATAGAAATATGAGTAAGCTTACTACAAAACCAGTACGTGATGCAAACTAGAACAGACAAGAACAATTATAGAATAATCTCAATGACTACAGACGCAAAAATCTTGAGTGAAATAAAATAATACACGGTGACCTAGTTGGAATTGTCCCAGGAGTGCCAATTTGGTTTGATATAAGAAAATTGATCCATGAACTCTATCCCATTAATAATGGGATGAAAAGAAGCCGAAAATTTATCTGACGATATTCAATATCAAGTCAAGCTTAACAAAACCTCTTGGCAAAATAGGAAAAGAAGGGAAATCCCTTAACCTGATAAAGGGCATATTAAAATCATGCCGAATGGAGAAACATTTGAAGCCCTCTTTATAAGCAAGCACAAGATAAGGAGTCCACAATTACTGCTTCTAGCAGCGTAATGGAGGTCAAAACCAGCAGAGCGAGATAAGAAAAATAAATAAAAGGCATAAGGAATGCAAAAGAAGAAATAAAACCGCCATTCTATGCTGGTGATAGGATTGTCTCTATAGAAAAGTCAAAATAGAAATGAAAAGTTTAGCAAGGCACCGGGCTCTAATTAGTAACATATGAAAGTCACGTGCTCTATATTCCACCTGAATAAAGTGAAAAACATAATATCGAATGAGAACACATAAAGTCAGAAGAAATTAAATGAGCCCTGGCTGGTGTGGCTCCATTGGTTGAGCATCATTCCGTGCACCAAAAGGTCCCTGGTTCGATTCCCAGTCAGGGTTCCTGACTTGGTACTGAACCCGCAAGCTAGGCATGTGCCCCGACTGGAAATCCAACCAGGGACCTTTTGATGCACGGAATGATGCTCAACCAACTGAGCGTGTCACACCAGCCAAGCAGGGTCAATCTATTGTAATTGAATAATATTTTTTATAGTTTGGAAAGTTGTCGGTTTAAGGAGAACTCACGACAAATTTATGGTAATGTATAGTAACTTTACCAGCATATTAGTATATCTTTTGGTAAAGTAGATAAATGAGAATGTGTAGTTTAATGTACTAGATAATTCTAGAGGAAGGCATACTGACATATACCTTGCCTGTAAGCAAGGAATTTGGCAGGAGGGGCAAATAATGAAATAGCTAACACACACTTTTGCAACTCATCTCATCTGTAACGAACCTGGCAAAAGCGAAAGAAACCTCTGAAAGGCAGGCTTTTCCCAGGGGAGGCAGGAGGCTGTGGCCGCCAGCACAGCCCTGGGCAGCAACGAATGAAGACTGTTATTTAACAGGCTGATCTGTTTACGCCCTATTGATGACTGTCATAAAAAGAAAATTCAGCTTCGAGGGAGCAAACCCAGAAGACACAGCGCAAGCTCTCTGACACTCCCCGCTGCCAATTCCAGTGCGTCAGGGAAGCCGAGGATTTGCACGCGGGCCTCAGCTGCAACCTGCTAGCGACCGACCGGATGATTCACTCAGAAGCAGGCCAGGGCGGGAGCCTCCTTATCTGTTGAACGGAAGCACCAGAGGCAGCCAAGCTCTCGCTGCACATCCGCCCTGGGTTTCAAGAGGTTGGCTTTTCTTTGAAAAGCCATTAGTGAAAGCCACAATCTCCAGACACCAACCCCTGGGCCGCGGTCTTGGTCTATGTCTCCGCGTTATCATCCTGGTGACTGAACAAATAAGCAAACTGCCCAACACCCACGAGCCCCCAAGTTTCAGCTTCAGGTCCCCATGGCAGCTGACACAAATGGAAAATGATCCCACGTTGAATGGCCTTTTGTGGCTGCACCAGAAAGGAGAACTTGGGGACCGACCCTCTGGGAGGGTGCGTGACGAACGGTGAAAAGGGGAAACGAGAGACAGGCTTACTTTCACCTTACCTTTTCAACATCCGCTTTTGTGACGTTGATGTCAGCATCCATTTTCTCAAAGTACTGCTGCGCCCGGTCAGCCTCCTTGCAATCCCGCTCAAATCGCCGCTTGCTCTGGAAGCAGAGGAAAGCGGTGGAAGGGGAAAGGGGTGACTAACGAAACCAGGAGATCCCTGAGCACTGGCTTTTACCCAAATCCCCCAAAGAGCATTCTTCTCCCCAACGGACTGCTGGGTCATAATCTCAGGACGCTACTTTATTTTTAAATAATTCTTTACTGTTGAAAGTATTACATATGTCCTCTTTTACCCCCCAAAAACCCTCCCAGCCCACCCCCACCCCGTACCCCAGGCCTTCCCCACCCTATTGTCTGTGTCAGGACCAACGGCCTAATCTTTGTTCTTTCCACGTGGTTTTTAGAAAAAAACACGCTCCTTGAACTCTTTTGGCTCAACACTTTACTTCAGATAAAAGTTTCTAGAAACACTCTACACTCAGATGAGAAAAATCTCTCAAGGCGTTTTCTTTAGTGTTTCCGTTTGTTTTGAACATACTGACTGATTCAAGCTGAAATTCAATTCCAGTTAGAAGACCGGCCCGGCCTTTCCCGGCTGCTGGCTGCTCACTCACCGACTCGAGCTGCTTCCAGCAGGTCTCTATGTGCTGCTGGGCCTTCCGTCCGTCGTGAAAGTGCTGCAAGCGAGAAACACCAGGGATCAGCGCGCCCTCCTGCTCAGAGTGACACGAGAGAAAAAGCCCACCCGCTGAAATAATACTTAAATATCGAACACCCAGCATGTGCGCGCCCGAGAAATCTTAGAGTTAAAAAATAAAGGGAAATGAAAACAAGAATAGCCAAGAGTAGCCTTTGAAACTTTAGATGTTATAATAATTGAATTCTAAGACTTATATACACAATTTGTAAAAGTGATAGTGAAGTTTTAAGACAAAAATCACTTAGATCTTTATTTTTAATTGCTTTGAGATGTAACTCACATACCATACAATTCACACGTGCAAATTGACAAGTCAATGGTTTTTACTAGAGTCACACAATTATGCAACCACTACTATAATCAATTTGAGACCATTTTTATCACCCCAAAAAGAAACCACGACCTCTTAGCTGTCACTCTCCTACCCAGACCCTCCCCAGGCCTGGGCAACCACTCATCTTTCTGTCTCTACAGATAACGCCGCTTCTAGATGTTTCATAGAAATGGAATCTCACAACATTATCTTTCGTGACTGGCATAATGCTCTCATCACTTCATAATGTTCACTGAGCAGAGTCTCTCTCCAAGGTTCATCCATGTGTCACACGGACCATTTTTATCAACAGGCGACATTCCACTGTATGGATATATGCCACCATTTGTTTATCCATTCACCAGCCGATGGCCTTTGGGTTGTTCCCAGTGTGGGGCTGCTATGAATAATGCAGCTACAAGTATTTGTGTAAAAGTTTTGAGTAGGCAGATGTTTCCATTACTTAGGACTTTTTAAATTTAAGGTAGATTCACCTGCTACCTGCGGAGGCCCTGGGGCAGCTATATGCCTGGTGTTGACACCCAAGGACTAGACCAGAGTGAGCCTCACAAACATTAGGAGCCAGGGATCAGAGAGAAAGGGGCAGACTGGGGGGTCTGTGGGCGGGGAGCAGAGGTGACGGACTACGGAAGCACCATGCTGTGAAGAAGGTTCCAGGTGGCAGGCTCTCTCCACCCGTGGAGATGACAAACACTTGGACCATGAGGTGCAGGAGAGGTGGTGGGAGAGGATCAGATGCTGGGGCCCTTTGATCAGGAAAGCCGCCGGGATGTGCGGTTGCATGGGACCAGATGTGGGCTGTGATGTTCTCAGATGTCAGGGTGACTCCGAGGTTGTCTTGACCTGCCTGGACGCGTGAGCAGGCTCCTCACTCTCCAGTTCTGTTGGGGTTGCCATGGAGAGGTTCCGGCGTATCAGAGGGCAGGAATGGACGCCTGCAGCTCCCCCAGCTATGATGCTCTTGGCTGGCTGGGTCCCCTGACCAAGGCTGCAGCTCTGGTGAGGCAGCGGCCTGGAGCTAACCTGTTCCCTGGAGCGGCCCGTGGAGCTCAGCATCCCTGATGGCTTTTCCTGGCCCCTCTCCACAGCAGCCTAAATGCTCCCTTTAATCCATGGGCTCCCTTCAGTGACTAGGACAGGTAGGCAGGGGAGGGTGCTGCGGGGAAGGCAGGTGAGGAGGGACAGGAGCCCAGAGGCCCTCCGCACAGCGTCAGAGTCCCACCTCACCTGTCAGACCGAGGCTCAGCTGAGTCACAAGTGGCAGCTGACGGCGGGGAGGCTGGGAGCAGGGGAAGGGCAGGTTCTCTCAGAAAAGACAGCGCTTCTTTACAGGGACTGTTTCTCGCCTCCTGTGAGGTCACGTTCACTGTTATAAGCGCCTCTTTACAGCCAGCTGCGTTCGTCCAGCCGCTTGTTAGTGTCTATGAACCCAAGAGAGCCCCTGGGCTTCGTTTTTCCAGCCTCATCACAGCACGGGGATGCGACAGAAAAGAGAGCGAGTCCACGGCAGCAATAAAGCAGCAGGACAGGGTCACGGCTGTGGGGAGTCAGAATAGAGCCGGGCAGAGCTAGGAAGCCTTGAGCTTCGGAGGAAGTACAAAGTGGAAGCAGGTATCTGGAAGCCACAAAGATCCCTTATAACGAGACCGGAGGGAAGCAGTGGTGAGGGGGTGCTCAGGGGAAAGAGATGTGGGCAGATGGGGAGGCAGAGGGACAGGCCGGGACAGACGGGCTCACTGTGCCCTTCCAGCAAGGCCCTTCGAGACCGAGTCCCTGTCCACCCAGAAACGCAACTTTCCCAAACTGCCACAAGGATCGTCCCCATTCTGAGAGCAGGGACCACCGCGTTATGCGGTTTTCAGAAAAGTCTCACCATTCCCCCCAATTTCACTTTGAGATTCAAAGACGGACCCATACAGAGGGAGTCACCCGAGCCCCGTGCCCAGAGCCGAGCTCCAGGCTGGTGCCCAGCTCTGGGCTTCCGAGCGCAGCACCTCCCCGCGTGGACAGGAAGCACGCACAGGACGCGCAGAGAGTGTCGGGCCCACAGGAAAGGGCCTGCTCTATCACAGGATCCTCCCTGAGGACACAGTCTTCAGACACTGGCCATTTGGGGAGCAGGAGGGATGGCTCCGACCGAAACCCCACCCGGGAATCCTCCTGCCACGCCTTCATCCAACTATTTTAGAATAAATGTGAATTTACTTTTCAAGCATAGTGTGGCCCCTGACTTTACTGTGAGCTTTCTCCCAAGGATGCCTGAGCCACAGCTGTTAGACAAAAGCAGGATCCCCAACCACACGCGTGACCCCATGGCTTCACGTGATGTGAGAAAAGCCCAGGTGCCTGTGAATCGTTCCTTATAGCATGTGCCCCTCCAACACTCATGTGGCTGCGCGGCTGGCGTGCTTCAGTGGTTGAGCATCGACCTATGAACCAAGAGGTCAAGGTTCAATTCCCAGGCAGGGCACATGCCCGGGTTGCGGCCTCAATCCCCACTGTGGGGTGTGCAGGAGGCAGCCAATCAGTGATTCTCGTCATTGAAGCTCCTATCTCTCCTTCCTTCTCCTCTTCTCTCTCTAAAATCAATAAAAATATATTTAAAAAAACAAAACCTCATGTGGCGCGCGTGCGCACACACACACACACACACACACACGGTCGCTGCTGCCTGGTCTCATAGGAAACGGACGGATGGAACCAAAGCCTGCCCTGGGCCTGCGCGTGCCTGACCCAGATAGCGGTGGTTTTCAACGGCTACAAGTTAAACTCACCGGCTCGCCAGATGTGTTTGTTGTTTACTGACAAGCAATGGCAAACACATTTCTTCTCTGGACAGTGAGCAAGTGTGTACTGAGAAGTGTGCCTCCGAGGCCGCATAAAGAGGGATTGTTCTCCAGGAGATAACAAGCGCTCCGCTGGCCCGGTGAGGTCATCGCAGCTCCCTGCTCTCCTCTCCGAGGACAGACAGGAAATGCCAGCTCCCCAGGCCCAGCTCCACGCTCCCACTCTCTCCTGGAATAAGATGCTTTCGTTTCTCTCCAAACACAGTAAGACTTTCAAAAATGCCTGATGGTATCTGGGTGGCAGCTAAACTCACTTTCATGTCAATGCTTTTGCTGACCCTTAAACATACACAAGCGCATTCATCCTTTAAAACTGTTGTAGAAATTTCCCAGTGACCAGGGGTGGCTGAGATAAAATAATCAGAGGGAAGCTAAAATAAGCACACATTAACCTAAAGAAAATTACAGTGACAAAGCTCTCAGAGTACTGCTCTGCGAGACATCATACTCAGGCTGAACAAAGTATGCGAATGTTTATTATTCTCACTCCATAATTAGGTACAACAGCTGTTTACTTTCACTATATAAATATAATAGTTTATTAACTTCTAAAACTCCTTAATAAAGCAAAATATGGCATTGATGTGAGAACAGCCACTCAAAAAAAAAAAAAAAAACTGGGGGGGAAAAAAGAATAAACACTCAATTGAGGACAGTCAACCATCTGGAATTTTAAATAAAACTCAGATTCCACAGATGAAAACAAAGGAACACAAAGACTTGAAAAGGGCAAAGAAAAAAAGAGCATCCAGAAAATATGTCTGTGACAAATATTATAACTTCCTCAAAACCCACAGAGCGGCGGGTCTGAACACTGGCCCTTCTCAGCCTGCCCCGGGGTTAATTCATGCACCGCTAAGTCTCTGTGGGCAGAGATGTGTGCACTGGGAGGAACACTCTGAGCCACCTTCAGACGGGCTCAAAGGAGCATTTCACCCTCATTTAAGTCCGAAACCATAAACCCAGGAGCGTTCGTGACAGGACTCGCATTCTGCTTTGATTTAAGGCTTATTTTCCCAAATTCATTTATAATAAAAATACCTTCCCAGCAAACTTGATTAAAGTTCCTCAAAGCCTCCTTCCCACTGCCATGCTCAGTGGCTTCACTTCACCAAACACTGACCATCTGGGCCCCGGGCAGGGGACCCCGATGAGCCCAGGCCCAGGCCTAGGCCCAGGGCCAGCAGCACCGGCCTCCAGTGTCCACGATCCTGCTCCCGAGGAGAAACATGTGGCTCAGACCTCAGCCAGGGAAGAACCTAGACGCTCTGCTTTCATAGGTGGCAAGTCAAGATTGTCTTTTTAAGAATTTACCTTTGAAAAGTCAACATATTTTCCCAAAGAGGAGCCTACAGATTTGTGTATCAGGATAAACACTGATTACTCATACTATTATGTGAGTGAGCAGCACTGTAATATGAGAATGAATACAGCACAGGTGGAAATCGCTGCGTAAAAAACATCTTGTCTCCTAGAAGCATGAGTAGCTAGTACTCTCCTATTTTGGTTAGAAATTTGAAAGCTTCGACATCGAACAGCTGACTCACTGTCATGCTATGGCCCCAAAGGCAAGAAGAATGTCCATCCCTCCCACTACCTGCTTTTCTCCTACTGCCTCTCACGTCTACACAGGAAGGAGGAAGCCTCCTCTTTTGCAGCGTGAGCCATTTCACCATGCAGGTTCTGGTTAGGGTTTCATCTCTTTCAACTGGCAAAATCGAGATGAAAAATAATTCTCTACTAGGATCTGAACTGAGCTTGGAAATACTCTGTGCCAGTGGTTCTCAACCTTCCGAATGCCGCGACCCTTTATAATACAGTTCCTCATGTTGTGGTGACCCTCCACCATAAAATTATTTTCGTTGCTACTTCATAACTGTAATTTTGCTACTGTTATGAATCGTAACGTACATATCTGATATGCAGGATGTATTTTCATTGTTACAAATTGAACATAATTAAAGCATAGTGATTAATCACAAAAACAATATGTAATTATATGTTGGTTGTCCGATGGTCTTAGGCGACCCCTGTGAAAGGGTCGTTCGACCCCCAAAGGGGTCGCGACCCACAAGTTGAGAACCGCTGCTCTATGCTGTAAATCTGAAATCGTCCCTTTGGGCAGACAGGATTTCGCCACTGTATCAAATGGCCCAAAAGGTATTGCACTGAGGGTTAAGAATGGTACTTAAGCAAGACACTGTCTCTAGTCAGCCACGAGAAACAGTAGCTAGACCTAAAAATCTGGTACTTGTGGCAACTGATCAGAACGGAATGACATAATGATGTTGGTCATTATTTACCGTCTCCTCCACTTTGGTGGGAGCCCTAGCTATCTTGCTGGTTCATGTATCGGGGCACTGAAAGAATTCTGTGGGCTCAAATCTACATAAAAAAAGCATGTCACTGGCCGACTTCAGACTTCACTGCTAACAAATTATTGTGCGCCTACAAGCGATCAGAGCTCAAAGATACGAATCATGGCTTAAAAATCGATCTCTCAGGGAAAACCTTGACTATGAGTACGCTGAGCGTACATTTCTCTCTTGTTCACAATAAAAGCCATGAAAGATCTTAATGGTGTCGAGAGGAGCAAAACGGTCCTACTCATTAGCTAGCAACGGATGAGCCAAGAAATCAGGTGGGTGGAACTGAGGTCATCTTTCTTGCTTTTTAAAAGTCCTTGTAAGCATTTATTTTAATACTACTTATTCCACACAGCACACCCCATTTATACTGCTTATCCTTGTATGACTGATATGCTCAAATATATTTAAATGCCTCAGAGGAATTGGTATTCTGGGGCACACAGATGCGCTTCAGAGTGTCTGAGGGGCCCTTGAAATTGTAAAGATCTAGGAACAAGGTCCATAACTTTTATACGATTCTCAAAGGAATCAGTTTAAGTCTCACTATTTATAATTCTATTTAATTTTAAGGTTTCTAGAGATATTGCCCTTATCTTTGGTCCACTTCTTTGAAAGAAAAAACAAACTTTGTACCGATTTCCTTTCCTGCTTCAGTTCCTGGACATAGCGTGCTAACCCCGCGAGGATCTGTGAGGTCAAGTTCTCGGAGACGACTTCATGCTGCCCCGCGTAATCGTTCATTTCGTTCAGGGTGGACAGGAAGGCTTTACACGCCGTATACCTGTGGAACAGAACACATGGAACCTTTTTCAAACGCGGTCACATCCGTGCTCACACTGCTTTACGCCGGAGAAATAGTCATTAAAATCAACCTCCCATGGGATCCTGACAATTCATTACACATAAGACTGTTTTCATCAAAACGGTCCAGAATTAATTACAACAGAAACTCTCTTCATTTTGTGGAAACTGAACTGCTCTATGCAGGGCAATAAAATACTTAGTGCAAATATAACCCAAAACACATACACATGCTGTATGTATGAACCTACTGGCTATTTAGCCCCAAGTTAGAGACATAATACTTTGGGACTGTCCATGTTCAGCCTTAGTCGCTGGCTGAAATGGACATATTTCTTGGATGAATTAGGCTGAATGAGACTCTTGACATTACAAAACCAAATCAAGATTGTAAAGCAAGCATGTCAAACTCAAAGGCTAACACGAGCCAAACAAACAAGGTTTAAGGTTATGTGGGCCACAAAAAAAAACATAAAGCTTCAATTTTCATAGAAACGTAGGTTTATTTCGATAGAGAAATGCTGAATACAAAGGGCTGAAATAAATGAGTCATCGTTAACATAAAATAATAGAACATTTTAATAAAAATTAATATTTTTTCTTGAACATTAACTTACCAGACACTGAATAACTGCACAAATAAGCGAAACGCAAATAAATTTATTTTTCTTGTTCTCCGAAAGCGAAATATTTCCTGTTGTGCACACCAAACAAGTCAGTACAAGATTAATGACGTGGCCATCGGCTGCTAAAATATTCGCTGCTGGTATTAGTGGAGAGAAATGGGGCGCCTGTGCATAAGGCACGTAGGGACATGAATGCAACACGGTTATAGTAATCGGTCATTAGCGAACATTGTTGTTCGTTATTAATATCCTGTATAACAGGATATTGTAAAAATTAAATTACAAAACTTTTATTAAGACGTTTCTGAGATACTGTTATATTGGCTGGGCCACAAAAATATTCACTGTGGGCCGCGAGTTTGACATGCTTGCTGTAGAACGGACAATCTATACTCCCTGCACGTGCTTGGATTCTATTCCAAGCTTTTCCTAATTGCCCTCATTGGAACCATCCACAAAAGCTCTAGTGACTCAGCACAAGAAAAGTTCCTGGAGTAGGTTTTTGTTTTTCTCTCCCCTCAATTTAAAAACGGACACAAATGTGAGAGGAGACTGCAACTTGGTGCAGGTCTCCCTCTCCCCTTTCCTTCAGTCACCACCAGCGGCGCAGAGAGTGCCGCGTCATCATCGATGAACACACCTGTATTCTTCTTCCTCCTTCGAGTTCTTTTTGGGTTGGTATTTCTTCGAGAGGTTCCTGAAACAAAAATGCGGACACGTCACCTCCCATAGGGCTAAGCGAGAAGCCAGGGGTCACAGAGGACGCTAGTGCGTTTTTATTTGTAAGTTTAAAAAAAGTCACAAAACGCCCACAGCCGAAATCCACGAATTTCCTTCCAACCCCGACCGTGTGCGAAGCTCCTGCGATGAAGGACTGCACAGCCGAGTCTCGGCTCCCGGGGGGAGCGGAGAGAGCGGGGTGGCCGCCAGCGGGCCCCTTCCTGGCTGTGGACCGCCGACCTGACTTCACGGAGAGCACAGGCCACGTGTGTACACGCAGTGGCTTCCATGTAGCACTGAGCTGAGGGCGGTTTTTCTCACCAGGCCACCACGCCCTCAGGGTCATCTTCCATTGAGCATCACTGCTCTAAATTCCAGGAAGCACGTGCACTGTGTCCAAATTTTTAAGAATAAAAAAATAAAAATAAAAAATAAAAAAGAATCACAATGCCCAGGGCACGTGGTCAAGGCTGGGCGGCGGCTCCCCCTAAAGCTAGTAATCAGTCTTCTGAGGCAGTAGCGACAAGTTGGGGTGATGTTTATGCTAAGTCATTTAACTAGAGGACCTTTCAAAAGGACTGGAAGCTAAATTGATTGATTTTTTAATTGATTTTCTAAGAGAGAAAGAGAGAGAAAAAAACCCATCAACTTGTTGTTCCACTTATTCACACATTCACTGGCTGATTCCTGTATGTGCCCTGTCCAGGGATCGAACCTACAACCTTGGAGCATCAGGATGATGCTCTAAACAACTGAGCTACCCAGCCAGGACCCTAGCAGACCTCTGAAGCTGCCTCCCAGGTTTGCACTGAACACACTCCGATGAGCCAATATCGCCTTAGTGTCTCTTCCTAGCCCCATCTCCAGGTCAGGAATGCAAGTGCTGTCAACACTCAGCTTAGATTTACACAAAGACCAAGAGGTCATCATGGAAAGGACCACCGTGCCTCGCTGGCACCGGTCCCCCAGCTGCTTCTCGTGGCTCCCGGTGGCCCACAGGGGGGCTCCCCAGGGCAGCAGCTCAGCACTCACATCCTGTTTCTGGCATGCTGCTATCCCTCTTTTCTAGTAGCTACCTTCATTTTTCACACTTCATTTCTCCCATTTTCCCTGAATCTACAGATTCGCCTACAAAAAGGTGCAGTAATACACTGACGATTTTGATCATGGTACATTCTGCAAAGAGGCATGGACTTCAGTAACAAGGACGTTGCTCTGGGACTCCAGGCACCACCGAGCCTGGACGGCATGAGCCTGGATAGGTCAACAGCAAGTCTGCGCTCCCAGTTCCTCATCCGTGAGTCCCAAGTGGTTGGTGAAACGAACTCTACGGTCGCTTCAAGTCTGGAAATTCCCAGGGACTACACAACACCCAAGAGAATATCTACTGCTGCAATTACTTAAAAATAATCTATAACAAATTAAGCGTTATAGGCAAACCGACGAAAGGATGTACTTACTGAAGCTGCTGTCACATGAGCTACTCTTAACCTGTGTCATGCTTTCTCTATTGATGCACAGGATACAGAATACAGTCTGTCTATAATAAATCTAGATTTGTTTTAAAAAAATGTGGAAAAGCAGTATTTTCTTAAAGAATGTGCCTTAGAGAAAAAAAAAATGCGAAAGAGAGAAATCTGTTGAAAGCACAGTACAATTGGGTTGATCACCACCACTCCTTAAAAGGCAGGTTTAGTAAAAATAACCCCTCAGGTGGCCACAGGGGAGCCCAGGACCAAAGGAGGACTCCACAACCAATGGTTCTCCAGACTTCCTGAGAGCAGCGTCTATGGGAGAGTCGAGAATTGAAAAAGCCCAGCATGTGAGCTGCTTTTAGCACGTGGTTTTTTTTTAAACATTAACCATTTCTTCTGTTAGTTATAGCTTACCAATGGAAATCACCACTTCTAAATGCAAACCTATTTAAAATACTTTCGAAACTTTATTTTAAAGATTTATTTTTTGTTTGTTTTGTTTTTAAAAAAATGTTTTTATTTATTTCAGAGAGGGAGGGAGAGGGAGAGAGAGATAAACACATCAATGATGACAGAGATTCATTCATTGGCTGCCTCCTGCACGCCCCACACTGGGGATTGAGCCCGCAACCGGGGCATGTGCCCTGACTGGGAATCAAACCCTTACCTCCTGGGTCATAGATTGACGCTCAACCACTGAACCACCCCAGCTGGTCTCAAGGCGTTTTCTTTTTAATCCTCACTTTCTTTTTAGCTTCCAGTCCTTAGCAACCATACAAATAATTTTTACATCCAATTGAAGGTAACAGAACTTGAACAAACCCAGGTGAAACCAGCTTTCTTCACTCCCATTAAACAGTCAAATCCCACACAGGCTTGGAGACTGTGGTGGGTGACACCCCGTGAGGACCATCAGGGTCAGGTGACTGCGTGCTGATGAATAATTCACCCCACAAAGGCCAGCCAAAAACTGAAAGCTTAAGAGGCCTAGAGGTGAACTCCAGGTCTAAAGAATGTCTCTCAGGACTGTACAGAAAAAAAGATCAACTTCCATTTCTATTCTCTGAGACAGGTATTTGTAGGAGGTTATTTTGAAAAAACAAGCAAGCCAACAAACCACAAAAGGCATCTTTAAATTTATGGATCTTCCTGAAAAATTGTGTTTTATATACTTAACTTGCTCTTCAGAGAGACAAATTAAAAGGTAAGAGAAAAATATACGACCTTTAATAAGGGCACTGCATTTAAACGCAGTTGATCGTAAGAACCACAGAGAAAGGCTTTTAAATAGGAGACAGTTGGCCCAGCCCAGACCCTCTGAAATGGAAGGCCCAGGGCTGGGTCCAGGAATGTTTTGTTTTGTTTTTTCTCTCTCTTTCTTTGATTTTTTAAAAGCTCCCCACGAGATTTCTGGAAAAAAGTTGGCAGAAGGAACTTCGATCAGAGAATTGTGTGTTCCCAACAACAAGAGGTGAAAATTAACAGCCAGGAATATGGTCAACAACAGCAAATAAATAATAAGGAAAGGTGCATAACCTCAGTCTGCACACTTGGAAAGTGGGGGCTGGGTGGGGACGGGGATTCTGGGGCAGCACAGAATGGACACTGGCTGACCCTCACTGCCACAGGGGTAAGCCCATGAGACCCCGAATGCTGACACAAACAGAAGTGAATGGAGGGCTCAGCAAGCACTGGGGACAGTGACAAAAGACAGCCAGGCTGCCCAGGGGGAGATCGCCCCAAACTAGGATTCCAAGGAAGAGGATACACCTGTGACCTCATAAAGTAAACCCCCAAAAGAACCTCTAACCAGGCCCTCCCCCGCCCTCACCCTGTGCTGGAGCTCAGGGGGAAAGATGGAAAGTCCTAGAAGCAGGGACAGGACCTTCATGGACACTCTCCGCATTGGAAGCCCTGATGAAGCTTCTGGTGATGACAAAAGCAGGCTTAGGCACCTGCCGAGCAGTTTACATGATCAACTCAGTAAGTCCCCCCGACAACCTTATAAGGAGAGAATTAGTATTATTTCCATTTTACAGATGAAAAGATAAAACACAGAGAGTATTTTGCCCCAAATCAATGAAAGGACCGAGACTGCATCCTAGGCATTGGGACTCTAGTCTGTCCTCGGAACCACATCACTAAACTGCCCATGTTAAATATAAGCCAGCTGAGAAGATATGTAATAAAGAAGAAAAAGGAGGGAAGATAGGAGGGAAGGTGGAAGGGCAGGAGGGAGGATGAGAGGGAGGGAGGGAGGGAGGGAGGAAGTGGATAACAGAGGAAAACCCAACCTGGAAGAAAACATCCAAGGAAAAGACACTAAACCAAACTCCTCCAGAATAGCCCCCACTGCAGACAAACTTAATTAAAACACAAAGCCAACAGAGCAAGAGTCCTCAGATCATAGGATAAAACAGAGTCAGATAAGGGGAGACTGCAAAGCAAGAAAAAGAACGAAGAACTAAACCACTCAATTACAGAACTAATATAAACTAGGCTGGCTGTCACACTTCATAGAGGAAAGTTTAGAGGTACTCACCAGGTGAAAAACAGCTAACATCATGAGGGAAAAAAGACCAGGCAAAGAACAAGAGGACAAGAACGTAAGGAAAACTCGTATCCCTGCAGTATCTAACCCATACGTAGAATCGAAAAAAATAATTAGATCCAACGGAAGGAAGTTCCCCCGAAAACAATGAAGAATTGAATAGCACATGAAGGGCCTGAAAAACTGACCGAACAGTCCACACAAGGCTCAGCCTCGTGAAGCTATCAAACTGCTGAGGAACAAAACAGTCTTTCCCAGGTGCCCTCAAAAGAGCAAGTCACCCCAAAGACAAAGAATCTGGCTGCCCCACACGTTGCCACCAAAACACAGCTGCAACCAAGTCTGGGGAGAAGGGAAGTAGGACAGAGAACAGCCAGGCTACATTGTTGTCAAGGAAAGAGGCGCTCCTCAAACCAGAACTCCGGATTATGCCACAGGCTTTCTTAGGGGGAATGTATCCCTATTTTCTTGACTCCAGCAAGTGGAGAAGCTATGGTAGAAGCCATGGTGGTGAGCATAAATCTATTTTAAAATATAGAATTAAGATAAATTAACTGTGGAAATCATGTTACAGACCAAATTACATAATTTGATTAGAAGAGGAAGCGAAACATGTAAATACATTTTTCTGTCCTTCCTAGCAGTGAGTCAATTGAACCTGTTCAAAATTACAACATGGGCTTAAAAAAAACAAACAATAAGGACATTCTACAAGTTTCCAAAATCTTTTTGCTAAATCTTATGAGTCTGTTTAATATTTTAAAGTTCAGCAAATCCTTCAGTTTCACTTTAATGTCCTTTCTACAGTTAAAGTAAATTTAAATGTAATACCTTGTCATACAATATGCAACACTTTATAAAATGGTTTCTACATAGTTGCCCTTTATTTACAATGAGCTAAAAAAAAAAACAAAAAAAAACAATTGACCAAGACATGAATGGTTCAAGAAG